AAATTTTTGTGCAAACTTCTTAAAAAATGGATATTGAAGATAAGCTAGATGTTAGGATCACCTCAAGCCTTTTTTAAACCCAGTCTTACAATTTTTCATGCAATATTTCTTATACTATTCTATATTTTTCAGGAGCTTTGTCTTCAACCATTTTTTGACCAAGATTTGGACGAAGTTGCCCCAAATATAGAAATCCCCAACATTGCTACTGCTCAGGTTGGTCTTACTTCTTCTGTTTAATAACTTTGAAGTCTTATCTTTAACTGTAGTTTTTCTAAAACAATCTGGTTCGTAAAGTCTTACACTACATTTACCATTATACTTAGATTAATTCTCAGTGTACTGACCTGTTTGCCTTTTGAACACTGGGAAAAAGAGTTTACGTATGGTTGAAATTTTCTCTTTCATTTATGTTTAAAATTAATGGTAATTTTCTTGATCTTTCCCCTTACGTTTTCCCATAATTTTTCAGAATTGTACTAGAAGTGATAATGTCTTGCGCTGGCAGTCAGCAGCTAAGCGTGTTTCCCAAAATGTACGTGTTAAATTTTGATGTCATATTTATTTCATTTTGAGCATATCTTTTTCAATTACTTACTTAAAAGTCATGTTTTTACTGAAAGTATCATTAATCTTTGTAGGAATCTGGTTCGGCATAAAGCTCAGGTGCAACGGAAAAGCATACAGATAAAAACCCAGACAGTTCAAATGTAGAATCTGATGATGATGACAACGATGTAAGTTGTATTGTGTAACTGTTTTAACTTAAGAATAGTCTTGATCATGTCCATTATGATACTGTTGAGTTATAGCTTGCATACCTTTCTCTATTCATTTTCTCCGATTTTATACTTAAAGGATACTGCTTCTCCATCAACATCCAAAGGCTCTGAAAAGAAGAGGAAGCCTGATTCCAAAACCAAAGATGTGAGTATTAATTGTCTTCAGAAACCTTTCATAAAACCTTTCAAACCTTGCTTTGGTTACAACATAGTCTTTTGTAACTCTTGGTCTTGTAATTGAGTGTGATTCAGATTGATTAGTGAATTCTTGAACTTAATTCAGTTTTTGCCATTTCAAGTACAAAAAATAAGTTATGTTGTACATTCTCTCCTGTCACCTTTAGCAATACAAATTTCTTAATATTTTATTTGATTCTTATGTTTCCTTCTTTTAGGACAAGAAAAGAGATCAGCCACCCCGAAAGAGAAAGAAGAAGACGGCAGATGGTAAAAACAAGAAGCAAAGGAAATCTGATGGCAAGGATGATGAAGTAAGTTGTATACATAAACAATAATTATTCTGTATTCTGTTTTGTTCTGTTTTTTTATGTTTGTTTTACTAATTTATATTTTATTTCAGGCATCTCCTAGTAAAATTTCAAAACCATCTAACAAACAAGAAGGGAAAGACAAGGCAGACAATTCGGATGTTGATGATAGTGATGTAAGTTCTTCATTTGTATTTATTTAAGTCATGATCAAGGCTGAACATCGTATAATGTGTTTACAGGAATCCTCATCTGATGAAGAAGTTAACAAACTAAATAAGGCATCTGCCAAGTTAGGGGACTTTAGATCGAT